CTTACCTCGTCCTCCAATATTCCTTATACGTCCTTCCTCATTAACCCTCCAGACTTTCTCGGTTGTCCTCGCTTTTCGTTTCTCGTTCTTATAAACGGCCTCCTCTTGCTTGGGATTATGCGGGGGCTTCGAGCTGTTCAGGGCCGGCGCGGGAAGATATTCAATATGAAGTGGGCTGACTTGAAATGTACGGGTCTCTTGTGGATCCTTCCTGTTGGGGCTGCCTTGAAGGCCTTGGGGCCCGCTTGGGCCCCTCTTGGGCTCTTCTTCGAAGTTGTGGGGCCGTCTCGAGCCTCGGCGCCATGTGAAGCTCTCCCGAAGACATCCGAAGGAGACGAGCGTGAGATTTACTGAATATGGAGAAACCTGAATGGCTTTTGTGTTTATGGCTCTCTGGGGTCATTTGGGAGGGCCTTTGGGAGTTCCACTGGGGCATCTTGTATCTTGTGGCCCCTGGGGGCCGCCTTGAAACATCTTGGAGAGTCTTGGACCACTAAGGGGCCATCTTGGAGGCCAGCGGGCGTCCTCCTGAACCAGCTCGGAACCCTCTTCAGGCCGAAAGAGTCACCCAAAGACCCCAAAGCGGATCCCGAAGCCAAAGGGGGGCAAATTGGGTTGCGACAGGGGGACTTTGGGAAAAGTGGGCCACCCCAGGGCCACCCGGGAACCCCCTCCCCCGTGGGCGGTCCCGTCGTCTTCTTCCGTCGTTCGACGTCCGTCGTCCGTCCACCCGCCATGTTGTTTCTCTATGATAGCTCTGCCGCGGGCATCTTCTCTCGCTTGCTCTGAGCAGAAAGTGCCGAGGATGCAGCGGCCAGCACTGTACATGAGCTGCTACCTTGGGCTGCAGCTCGCTGGATACTGCTGCGTGAAAGGCGCTGCTACCCTGGGCTGCAGTGCCATGCAATTAAATACCCCAACATTACTTATTCCAATCGGCACTTGAACGAGAGATGGACATGCTTGGTTCGCGCATGAATTCTGTCCTGAACCCTGAATGGATGAGCATCGAACCCAAATCCAACAAAAAATCCTGGATTCCTTGGGGCCTTCGGAGACTCCGTGAAACCGTTAAGAAACCGGGAGGCGCGGTACGGGCCAGATGTCAGGGGATAGGACCCCCGAGTAGGAGTTCCACTTTGAGGAAAAAAGGGGGTTCTGGGAATTCCCTTTGATATTTCTTGAAAAATTCAATATTTGAGGGTTGCAAGCGGGAAAACGTGAGAAGGCGTAAAACAAATAATGTCAACAGTGTGTTACCCTCTTTGGGCTCTCTCGGGATGGCTCTCGCAGTTCTCTTGGGCTGTTCTTGGAGCCTCGTCGGAGTCACTTTGGGGCCTCTCAGGGATCGGGGGTGTGTTGGGGACCTCTGGGGGGTCCTGGAGGCCTCTCGGAGGTCTCTGGAAGCCTCCTGCTCCCGCTCTTGGGCCCATCTTGGGCCTGTTCTGGGCTCTGGGGTGGTCTGGGGCTGTCATGGGCGCCTCTTCGGCAGTCTTGGAGCCTTCTTGGCCTGTCTTGGGGTCGTCCTGAGGGTCTCCTGGGTGGTCTCGGGGCGGTCTTGGGAGGCTCTTCGGCGCTCCTGAACCATTGGAAGCTCGAAAACGCGAGAAGCCAAAAACATTTAAACAAAAACAATGAACATCTACGATGTTAGCCTCTTCGGGCCGTCCGGGGACGTCTCTCGGACCTCTCATGGGGTCTCTTGGAGGCCACCTGGGAGCCTCGAGAGCCTTCGGAAGGCTGACTTGAACTGCTTGGGAGCGTCTTGGACCATTCGTTCGAATTCTGGGAGCTTCTGGGAGGCGTCTAGGGCCCTCCTGGGACGCTGCGGAGGCTCCCCGGAAAGGCTGGGGGAGCGGTACCGGGAGCGTCCCCGAGATATGGCGGGGAGGTGTGGGACCCGGGGCCGGGGGGGGGGGCGGTATTTATTTATTTTAATATAGAACCGCGCGCGCGCTTCGCGCGCGCTTGGGTTCTAGCACATGCCATGGCGTTGTTAGCTGTGCGTGCTCGTCGGACAGGCTCATTCGATGCCTTGTCTTACCGCGTCCTCCAATATTCCTTATACGTCCTTCCTCATCAACCCTCCAAACTTTCTCGGTTGTCCTCGCTTTTCGTTTCTCGTTCTTATAAACGGCCTCCTCTTGCTTGGGATTATGCGGGGGCTTCGAGCTGTTCAGGGCCGGCGCGGGAAGATATTCAATATGAAGTGGGCTGACTTGAAATGTACGGGTCTCTTGTGGATCCTTCCTGTTGGGGCTGCCTTGAAGGCCTTGGGGCCCGCTTGGGCCCCTCTTGGGCTCTTCTTCGAAGTTGTGGGGCCGTCTCGAGCCTCGGCGCCATGTGAAGCTCTCCCGAAGACATCCGAAGGAGACGAGCGTGAGATTTACTGAATATGGAGAAACCTGAATGGCTTTTGCGTTTGTGGCTCTCTGGGGTCATTTGGGAGGGCCTTTGGGAGATCCAATGGGGCATCTTGTGGCCCCTGGGGGCCACCTTGAAACATCTTGGAGCGTCTTGGACCACTAAGGGGCCATCTTGGCGGCCAGCGGGCGTCCTCCTGAACCAGCTCGGAACCCTCTTCAGGCCGAAAGAATCACCCAAAGACCCCAAAGCGGATCCCGGAGCCAAGGGGGGCAAACTGGGTTGCGACAGGGGGACTTTGGGAAAAGTGGGCCACCCCAGGGCCACCCCAAGTCCCCCCCCCATGGTGTTGTTGCCCTATGATAGCTCTGCCGCGGGCATCTTCTCTCGCTTGCTCTGAGTAAAAAGTGCTGGGGATGCAGCGGCCAGCGCTGTACATGAGCTGCTACCTTGGGCTGCAGCTCGCTGGATAGAAAGGCGCTGCTACCCTGGGCTGCAGTGCCATGCAATTAATTACCCCAGCATTACTTATCCCACACGGCACTTGAACGAGAGAGGGATATGCTTGGTTCGCGCATGAATTTCTGTCCTGAACCCTGAATGGATGAGCATCGAACCCAAATCCAAAATTCCCGGATTCCTTTGGACCTTCGGAGACTCCGCGAAACCGTTGAGAAACCGGGAGGCGCGGTACCGGCCAGATGTCAGGAGATGTGCAGGACCCCCGAGTAGGAGTTCCACTTTGATGAAAGAAGGGGATTCTGGGAATTCCCTCTTCTTTGTCTCAAATCATTCATCTTTGAGGGTTGGAAGCGGGAAAACGTGAGAAGGCGAAACACAGTGGACAAAGCACTGGCAGTCAACAATTTTACCTTCTTTGGGCTCTCTCGGGACGGCTCTCGCAGCTCTCTTGGGCTGTTCTTGGAGCCTCGTCGGGGTCTTTTTGGGGCCTCTCAAGGATCGGGGGTACTTATGTTGGAGGCCTCTAAGAAAACCTCTCAAAGGTCTCTGGAAGCCTCCTGCTCCCGCTCTTGGGCCCATCTTGGGCCTCTGGGGCCGAAAGCTCGGAATTTGAATATGGTTATACACCTCTGCGACCCCTCTGGGGTTCGTCCTGGGGCTCTCTTGGGCTGTCTTGGCGGCTTCTCGGGCCGTCTTGGGACCCTCTCGGGGTCGTCTTGGAGCCCTCTTGAGAGCCTGTGGGGCAATCTTGGGGGCGGCTTGGCCCGTCTTGGACGCAATGGAAGCCCAAAAGGCGAACACGCCGACAGAAATCAGCTTTCCCGTAGGAAATCTACGATTTTTGCGTATCGGGCCTCTCTCGGGGTGCCTCTTGGGGCGTCTTCGGGGTCTTCTTGGCGTCGTGGGAGTTGTCTTGAAAGGCGTCTGGAACCATCGCTGCGGCCTCCTGGGGCCTCCCTGCAGCCTCTTGGGGCCCTGTTGGCCCCGGGTCGCCGAACCCCCACCAAAAAACTCCCCCCAAGAAAAACGACGCCCTGGCCCCACATTTGTGGTCGTGGTCCCGGCCCCCAGCCCCCGCACCCGGTCCCCCGTTATATGTATAGTATTCTTTTCAATATCGTGATCCTTCTCCTCCTCCTCCTCCAACTCCTCCTCCTCCTCCTCCTCCTCCTCAGCCGCCTCAGCCTCAGCCGTAGTGTAGTGTCAGCCGTAGTGTAGTGCCATAGTGTAGTGTCGCACCCAGGTGCCCCCAACACTACACTATGACACCACACGAACCGTAGCGTAGAGCATTCTCTCGCGGCGGAGCCGAGCGAAACTAAACCCTAAGGGACAGCAGTCGTAAGACAAACTATTCCGCACCCCCCCCTCGTCAACGGTAGTGTAGTGTCACAGCGTAGTGTCACACCAAGGTGTCCCCAACACTATACTATGACACCAAAGTGTTTAACCGTTGCGCGGAGTCCTCTCACGCGGAGCGGAGCCAATCAAAAGCCCTACGGAACAACAAACAGAAAAAACTCTGCCCCCCCTCCTCGGCCGTAGTGTAGTGTCACAATGTAGTGTCGCACCCTGGTGCCCCCAACACAATAGTATGACATCACAATAACCGTAGCGTAGCGTAGAGACCTCTCTCGCGGAGCGGAGCCATTCAAACAAATTACGGAAAAGCAGAAAAGAACAACTCAGCCACTCTCCTCAGCCGTATTGTAGTGTCATGGTGTAGTGTCGCACACCGGTGTCCCCAACACTATACGATGACCATAGCGTAGAGTCCTCTCTCGCGGAGCGGACAAAACTCAGCCCCCCTCCTCGGCCGCAGTGTAGTGCCATAGTGTAATGTCGCACCCCGGTGCCCCCAACACTATACTATGACACCACAGTAACCTTAGTGTAATGTCATACTGTAGTGCCACACGCAAGGGTTCTCGACAATACACTATGACATCACACTAACCTTAGTGTAGTGTCGTACTGTTGTGTCGCACGCAAGGGTTTTCGACACTACACTGTGACACCACACGAACCTTAGTGCAGGGTCATACTGTAGTGTCACACGCAAGGGTTCTGGACACTACACTATGACACCACACGAACCTTAGTGTAGTGTCGTACTGTAGTGTCGCACGCAAGGGTTCTCGACACTATACTATGACACCACAGTAACTTCACTCTCTTCACGATTAAGAGTTCTTATTCACGCATAAGATCAACCCTTCCTGGCTTCAGCAGTGTCGGCGGACGGCCAACGCCTGGGGGCATGAGCGCGACCCAGGGAGGGAGCAACGAGGGGGAGGAACGGGTGTCCATCTACCCCGGGCGGGAAGAAGAGGCGGCAGACTCAATGCGAGTCGCGAGACCTGGAGCCCCGCCGGAGAATCCCCGAAATACGGAGAGGCCAGCAGGCAGACCTCCGGCGCGACCAGGGAGGCCACGACGAAAGAGGAGGCCCGCAGACCTGCGCCCTGGGCCGTGTGTTCTTTCCCCCCCGTCCTTTTTTCCAGCGCGGGGGGGCGCCAAGGAGTCGATCCCCGAGCGAGCAGGCCGGACGGGCCGAGGGGGAGGCAAGGACAGGGGTGCACGCTGCGGCCGCAGCCCCGCCTGCCGCGGCGACGGCGCCTACTCCGCACTGCAGTGGGGTGAGACTGGGATCAGCTCGGCGGCGCGCACATGCGCGTGGGCACCGTGCGACTGAGACTGAGCCTGTGGGGTGAGACTCACCAGTGGGCACCGCACTCAGTGGGGTGAGACTGACCAGCACCGTGCGACTGAGACTGTGGGCAGCGGCCACGTCGCCTGACTCCCCGCCGCTGGGCGTTCAGCGTCTCTTCGGCGGGCTCGTCGCGTGCGGAGACAGGGCGATCGGCGCCGGCGACGGCGAGGCAGAGCAGTGGTCGCGAGGCGACCTCGACTTGCGCCGACCGGCCTGCAGCAGCGCCTGGAGCCGGGCTGGGTTTCCCCCAGAGTGGCGCGGGCGATCTTGCTGCGGCGCGGCGCTCTGCGCGGACACCGCCGACGCGCCCGAGAAGCGTTGGGACAGATTGTTGCCGAATGACGATGCCCTGCTGGGCGTCAGCGAGGCGTCCGACGCGCCTGAGTTGCGGTGGTCGAAGACCATCTGCGACTGCCGCCAGGAGGTGACGGAGCTGGCGGATGCCCTCGGGCTCCGCGCCGTGGGGGTGGCCGACGCGGAGGCGCGCCGCGACGGAGTCGCGGAGGCGTGCCTCGAGACCTGGATGTGATAATTTGTCCCGTTGGCCTTCTCGCCGTGGCCAAAGTCGCCGCTGAACATGCCGCCCATCACCCCGGCGCCGGACGACCGCCTGAAGCCGGTCCCGCGGGATGTCGCCTGCTGCCGCGCCAGGCTGGCGCTGAGCAGGCCCATCCGCGCCTCGAAGGTCTCCTCGAGCTTCCGGGCCATCTTCTCGAGCCTCCTCGCTTGTTCCTTCAGCAGGTGGTACTTGCTCTTGTGGCGTGAAGCCTCCAGGCTGCCATCGCTGCCAAGCCTGTTGACGCCATCGTCCTCCGACTCGGAGCTGGAGTCCGACGAGCTCCCGATGTCTGCGGCGCAACTCCTCCGCGCGTCGGCGTCCTCGTCCAGGGTGCCCAGGGGCAAGATAGACGCCTTCTCCTCGACGGAGCCCTTGGAACCCATCCTCGAAGTGCGGCTCGGCCGAGCGTTCCGCGACGAGTCTTTCGGGCTCTCCCCGCCGCCGTGCCATTCCTCCGACCTCGAGCTCTCCTCAGACGCCCTCGTCACCCTCGCCTCCTCGCCTGGCTCCCTGCTGTCGAAGCTGCCAGCCGCAGAGGCGTGGCCGCGCGGGCTTCTCGCCACCATGTCCTCGGCGATCGGGTGGTCCGGGAAGAGCGTCAGGGAAAAGTCCGAGAAATTGATCTGCCCGTCGCAGTCGGTGTCGAAGTAGCGGAAGAGGTTGCGGCACTTGGCGGGCGTGAGGGACCTCAAGTTCAGAGCATTGATCATCGTCATGAACTCCTCGAAGGAGAGCTCGCCAGAGCAGTCCTTGTCGATCTCCTCGAAGACGAGCCACAACTCCTGCGGCTCGTAGCCCTGGGCCTGGAGCTGGGTGCGGACGTTCTCCAGGAGAAGCAGGCGGTCCTGGTGGAACCAGGTGTCGGCGAACACCGAGCCGACGATGGCGATCGGCATGGCCATGAACGTCATGCCGAAGAACATGAGGCACACGGCCACCGTCTGCCCCACCGCGGACGCGGCCTGGAGCCCGTAGAACGGCCCCGTCTCCATGCTCAGCATGCAGACGATGCTGAAATGCATCGCCGCCGGCAGGCTCCTGATGGTCACAAAGCCGCCCTCCACTCTCTCCTCGAGCGTCATGCCCTTCCACTCCGTCTCGGTGAGGCCCTGGCTGGTGAGTTGGAGCGTCTCGACCACATAGAGGGTGCATGAACTCAGCATGACCATCAGGATCAGGAAAAATATGGGGATGACGAGCGCTTTCACGCTCTCCCGGATGGCGCGCAGGAGCAGGTGCCAGCCCCAGAAATATCGCGCCAGCCTCAAGAGCCTCAGGAACGCCTCGTACGAGCTGAGGTGGCGCAGCGGCCTCAGCCACAGCGCCCACGCGGGCACGTCCAGCACGTCGCAGCAGAAGAAAGGCATCACCGACAGGAGGTCGATGAAGTTCTTTGGGTGTCTCAGGAAGTAGCGGCAGCTGGGCGAACAGACCAACCGAAACGCCAAGTCGCAGCAAAACACGATGTTGAAAACGCAGTTGGTCGAGTCTGTCACGCGGGCCTGGTCGTTCCAGGTCGCCTCCCACGTGGCCTTGCTGTCCTGCTCGTGAAGACGGACGCTGTGGCACAACGAGGCGCCAATGATCACGAGCATCACACTGGAGAGCGCGGAGGACTTCCAGTCCACAAAAGGCTCCTCCAGAAACAGCCACAGGCGCAGGCGATTGATCTTCACCCACGCTGGGCAGCAGAAGGCGCGGCCAGAGCGGCCGCTGCTGCCGGCCACGCTGCCGCTGACGTCGGACTGCACAATGCTGGTCGCCGCAAGCCCTCGCCGCAGCCCGGGGTCCAGCTCCGCGGTCGAGGAATCCGGCTCGAGGAAAGACCGCGCCTTCTTCTTCGCGAAGCCCTCTGCAGCCGAGGCAGCGGACACGTCGCCCGAGCTGCGCCTGGCCTGGCGCCCGCCGGAGCCCACGCTGATGGCGCTGAGAGATCGGCGAGCGAGCCCAATCAGTGGCCTCAATCCCGACGACGGCGTCACTGGATCCCTCTGCGGGTTCCCCCCGTCCTGCTCCTCGGAGGCGCCACGCGGCGGCGAGCTCGAGCTGGCGTCCGAGCCCCTGGAGAAGGCGAACTGCACGCTCTTCCGGGAGGAGCGCGACTCGCGACTGAAGCGCCCATTGTCCACCGAGGGTTTGCTGCCCGTCGACCTCCGAGCGGAGTCCTTGGAGGTCGGGTGCGCGTCGGCCTTGTTCTGGTAGGCGCCCTGGGTGGACGCCTGCCCGTCGCCGATGTCCTGGACGTCGTGCCCGCGGCCTCCCGACGCGTCCTCCACGGCTGGCCCCAACGCGCCCTCCATCGCTCCGGGAACGCTCCGATCGGCGCCAGACCGGGAGCCTGCCGGCTGGCCGGCTTGGCCAGCTGCAGCGCTTCTGGCCTGGTGGCGCGTCGCCCCCGGCCAGCCCGGCCGCCCCAGGCAGATGCCTTGAGCCAAAATGGCTACGGAGCTGGTGGGGATACTTTTTGATCTGCGGCTCAGAGGACGACTCCGGAGAGCGGGTCAATCTCGACAGGGGCGCAAAGCGAGATGATTGGTAACGAAGGAACATAGGCCAACGCCGCAATGCACATGCGAGGGACAAAACGAACCACATTAGAGCCGACCCGGGCACGGAAGACGGCAGCAGACTGGAAAAGCCGGCGGATGGTCGCACTGTGGCGCCAGCCCCCACAGACCAAACCCGCGCGATGGCGGGAACAGGAGAGGCACCGCCAAACGCGGCGAGGAGGAGCAGAAGGGGGGACAGGCGACTGGTGGGGATACGCAAAGCGTCAAGAATTCCGAACCCTGTTCCTGCCGCCCATCGAGTTCCCTAGGTCGTTGATCGGCGAGGGCAAGGTTCGCATGTCGCCGCCGATTTGGGATCAAGGCAGTTGGACGCTTCTAGACTGTTCTTGGCCTCCGCAAGGCCCGAGGAATGGAGGAGGATTGGAGGGCACCAGGACCACCCACAGGTAAGCATACCTACAAGCTAAGCCCTTGAGCAAACGCACCTCGTCCAGAGAAGGACTGCTTCGTAAACAAGGAGGGCTGCCTGTAAATGCCAGTCAAGGGGGTCGGGATGAGTCTTCCTCCCTAGAAACGAGAAAGACAAGGTTCGAGAGATCCAGGATGGACTTGTCTGCCTGTTATCTGTATTCTAGAACGGCTTCTCGTGGCAACGGCTGAACTGCCTCCGACATTCTGGGCACAACGCACCCCATGACAGGTCTGGAGAGAACTTCCTACTAGGAGCAAAGGATTGCTGGGACAACTGGATACACACTTTCATTGCGTGTCTTCCGATCACCTCCTGGCGCTGCGCGGCGCCCCAAACAGCCACATGTTTGTCGACGGGGGTGGTCTGCTAATGGAATCTTGGAGATCAACCTTCAAACCGCCCGCGCGAGGTGCATTGTCACGCTGTGCGTGCATATGCGCACGAGGAATCATTCAATCAAAGGTTGCCGCGGCAGCAGGCGCTTGGAGAGCACAGCGCGAGAATACTGCCAATCACTCTGGCTAGTTCATGGCATGAAGAATGGGTGCGCGGAAAGAAACGACCACCTTTGCGTCGTCTGCCGTTCTTAGACGGTCCCGTGGCCTTGAGATGGCCCATTCAGGCCAATAATGAAGAAATACCTTGAGGACCCCCATCTTTTCTTCATGCTGACCTCCACTCGTGTGCTCATGTGCGCGTCACACGGCCTCTGATCGGACATGCCAGTTCAAGAGAAAGAGCACGTCGGACGAAAAGGGTGGCTAGCGAATCCCCTCAGGTAGCTGGTTTTCCTGGCGCCTCCTGGCGCCAGAGGCGTCAGTGTGTATCGAAAACAGCACCCGCCGGCGGGGCCGAAACCAACTGCACGCGGCAGATGACCCACCCCCCCCACCCCATCTGACCCCGTTCGAGGCGGAACGTTAGGAGGAGAAACATCGAGCCAGAATCGGCGATACATCGCCGACAGAACGGCGATGGGCCCCCGATGGAAACTACGTGCGCACGGTCAGGGCGGGGGGTGCTATCGGGCCCCTACCGCCGATCAATGTGCGATTGGGGGTCGGTGCGTCCCCTCTTGAGCCTAGCCCACCCTAACGCCATAACGTTGCCCCTGACCCTTTTCGCCTGACCTGCCAATGCGGTCACCATGCGGAAAAATATTGAAACACAGCTTTACGCTGCAGAACGGCAGAAACGATCCGCACGGACACTCGAATTGTCGGGGACACGCGACTGACTAAGTTGTCCAGCCGAAAGAAAGTGCGCGGGGAAGAGGAGCGGCCGCAAAGAACAGGAGGGAGGAGGAGGAGGAGGAGGAGGAGGAGGAGGAGGGCACTCGCGGCTGCAAGAGATTCAGGACTAGCGCGACACTCGGATCTCCAGCGGCCGCTCGGGACGATCTGGGCCCTCCCCGAGCGCCCCAGGCGAGGCGCAGCTGCTGGCAAGCACACCGAGGCTGGAAGATATCGCCGAGAACCGACGAGAACGCCCCAACATCTCGCGCCTCGAACCCGGAACTGCCCCCCCTCGCGCGCCGCCGATCCCTCCCTCTCTCGCCGGGGAGGGCGGCCGCGGCGACGACGACGACGACGACGACGACGACGACGACGCCGACGACGACGACGGCGGCGGCGGCGGCGGCGGCGGCAGCGGCGGCGGCAGCGGCGGCAGCGGCGGCGGCGGCGGCAGCGGCGGCGGCGGCGGTGACGACGACGACGACGACGACGAAGCGCGCCAGAGCGGCAAAAGGGCCGAAGCAAGAGCAGGCGCAAGGACCCGCGGCCGCGCCCGCGCCGCTTGCCGCGGCGGCCGCTGGCGCGCCCGCCGGCGGGGCGGCCGGCGTGGAGCTGGCCTGGCCAGCGCGCTCGGGCGCACCGCGAGGGGACGGCGCGAGCACCCGAGGCTTCCGGCCTCTCGCAGAGATCGGAACGGACATGTTTCACCGGTTTCGGCCTCTCGGGGCCCTCGCCGGGCCTCGGGACCGTCAGGAGACGGCGCGGGCAGAGGGACCAGTCCCACTGGAATGGCATAAACCCTTTTGAGTCAATTGGGTCTCGCGAGCATGTGTGTGTGTGTGTTTATCCGCGATGGCGCCCGTGACCAGCCCCGCGCCCCTCACCCCATGGTCACGTCACGATTCGCGCCGGCGCGGTCTGGGAACCAACCAGCCTTATGCATTCCCAGACGGCGCCGGCGCGAACCGTGACGTGACCTCCCACCCCCCACAGCCACGCCCGTCATCGGCAGGGGAGAGGAAACGGCCTACAATTGGGGGGACCAAATGGTACCGATACCGCTACTCGGCTGCGTGGCGAATCTAGCGGTGGCGACGAGGGCCTCCCAGAAGGCCCAAACGTGGGAAAACGAGCCTCCCAGGTGGTAGAGGCATGGGTACCCCATCCTGCTCTGGATCATTGCCGCGCAGGGCCTCGAGGATTTTCCTCCTCACCTGCGTGTTGAGCTGCCCCCCCCCCTTCCACCCAACGGTAGCGGAGGCCGCGCGCCTTCGAGGCGGGCACGAGGGGGAGGTCCTCGCTGCTGTCGCAGTCGCTGAGGGCGAAGGCCTCGGCCTCCTCCCTGCTGGCCTGGGTGCGGGGGTGGGTGCACCTCCTGCTGCTGCTGCCGACCCTGTGGGCAATACGTCTGTCCACATCCACTGCAGTATGGAATCTCGGGCTCCCTTCTCCTGGAAAGCCGAGGCACACTGGATATGGATAAGTTTGCCCCCACGAGGCTGGATGTGCATCCATATCCAATGCGCCTCGGCCTTGTGGCGCCCCTTGCAAGAGAGCCCAAAACGCACTGGATATAGATAGAAATCTTGCCCGCAACTCCTCCTATAGACCCAAACATCTAGCGTCTCGACAAAATCGAGAGGGAAGAATTCCTTGTTTTGGGCCTCTCAAGGCTCTCGGGACCGTCAAAACACGACTCGGGAGGAAAAAGCAAACCTGTGGAAATGGTCGAGAAGTCGTGGCCCGTGACTCGAACAAATCGTGACGCCGCATGTCTGGGGAGGCCTCTCAAATGAGGTCCGAATAGATGGGGTCGGAGGATCGCGCCGCATCTCCGATGCATCGGCACCGCATCGGCGGCGTCGCAGATGCATCGGCAACGCATCGGCGGGCGATGCATTGGCGATGCATCGGCAATGCCTCGGCGATGCATTGGCAACGTCGGCGTGTAGAAATCAATCTCCATGTCGAGCCGTATGGCCGATGCATCGGCGAAGCGGCGGACCCATGTTCGGAGTCCTAGATCCAACTTCGGCTACACGTAAGAGTGACCCTAGGCAAGAAATACCTTTGGTGCGCGATTTTCAGGGGGGCCGCGGGGAGGCCGAACCAGAGCGCGCAAGCCGCTACCATCGCATCTCACTTAGGCATATGGGGGACCCAGTGTGCCCGCATTTAAGGTCACTTCGGCGAAAAATCACTCTTACGTATAACCGGCTACGGCCGGCTCGTGTGTCGTCCCGACTGCGGCACTGACTCCTGACACCGAGGGCATCGTTCAGCATTGAACGATCAGCCGTTTCCGACACGTCAGATCGTTCAACATCGGTAGACCCTAGGTCGCCAGCGACGTTCAACGTCGAACGCCGGCGGTGAGATCGCCGCCGCTCGACACCACGCGAACCTGCCGTACTCCACTCCTGCTCAGACCCCCTCGCGTCGAGAACGAAAATCGAAACGGGACTTTGTTTGTCATGTTCGGACTCTGGGGGTCCCTGCTGGGGTCCTGGACCGTCGCAGAAGTGAGTCGGGATCCAACAAATCTGGTCTCGAGGAAGGGTTCAAGACGCCTGGGGACCCAAAGGTTCAATTGACAGTGCCGCAAAACCATGCCCACATCATATCCATACTCATACGTGCGTTCCACTTCCACTTGCACATGTTCTCGAACAGCTACTGGGGTCAACGCGTTGACAGAAACTTCCAAAATGACGCGATCTCCACAACAGCCGCTTCCAAAACCTTCGGTCAGAGATTCCTGCCGCGCTGCATTTCGGGTGCGGCCGCCAAATGCCGAACCGCCGTTCGCGAAGAAACCTACCTGGGCCGTCGCAACGAAGGCTGATTCTGCACATCAGAACAAAATGCGGCAACCATCGGGACGCGATTCCCAGTAACCGCCACGACACCAAGAACATCATCACGATCACAATCAACCCGAATAACCCGACACAAGATGTCGGCAACACAATCACCATCATCGAACTTACACCACGCCAAATATGTGAGAACGCTGACACAGGAACCAGGACGTGTGGCGCTCATGATGATTGTGGCGGTCCCCATGGTTGAGGTGAGGGCGACGCTGCTGAGGATGCGGCTGACGGCTTCAGTGATGATGACGGCGATGATCAGGTGATGTGGTATGATGGTGCTGATGGCTGCAAATGCGAGAAAGAAGACGATGAGGTCGGCCGCGGTCTCGGGCGCGCGGACACTCGCACGGTAGGGCGC